CCGCCAGCCCTTGCTGGCGTTTCTGCAGCACCCCGTGCTGGAAGGGAGCGCCTGGCTGCTGCGTGTGCCGTCCCGCTCTGGAGGACCTGGCGTTAACGCCTGCGATCTTCACAGCCGCTGTTTGCTTAGCGCGAGGCAGAACAGAGCGTCAGCGCGTTGGTAATCCCTCAGCACAGACCAAAATTCGTCTTATGCTGATGTCTGCTCTTATCCGTTTGGATTCCTGGCTTCTGCGTGAAGCACATCAGAATATTCCTCACTCTTTATTAAAGGACTTGTGACTTGCCAGGCTCTGTGTAGCGGTGGGTGGGCATACTGAGGGGTGCAAGCAAGGGGAGAACTGCTAGAACACCGTGCCAGTGTGGGGATGCAGAAACACTAGGTTTTTCAGAAGGACTGGTGGAGATTTTGCTTCTATTTTATCACGAGTCCTTGGGTGGCAGCTTTATACATGAAACACGCTGACTGGCTCACAGTCTGTTGTGCCTACTATAACGGGAGATATTGTTCTTGTAAATACTGCTTTCAAGTTTAAAAACTCACTGGTTTCTAAGTGTTTAAATTCTGCCCTGCTTGCTTCCACAGCTGACTTTGATGAATCTAAATCCCCCAGCGTAGAACAGCTGAATACATTGAGAGAGTTTGCTGGAATCACTGCTGAATCCTCAGCTCCCGAGAGCCTTGCTACTCTTGCCTTTCTCTATATGTGCCTGGCTATTTCAGCTAAGTATGGGTAAGGTTATTTTCCTGTAGCAAAATAAACATGCTGTCTTGTGTATTGTGCATCATTAATTGCTTTTACGAGGTCACAGAAAGAAACCAAACATCTGAGGTGAAATGAGAAATTAAAGAGAGTCACACTTAGGTTCTGAGCACTCCAGGGGCAACTCTTTAGGGCTAAGCTGCACTTGGTGGTGGTGGTGGGGAGAATGCCAAGTGCCCCAAGCAGGTGGGGGAGGGATCATTTGTTCTATTTTAGACATCTACCTTTGAGATGCTTAAGTCCCACCCTTCCTGTACAGACGACAGAGACAGACATCCGCCCCATCCCTGGCAGGCAGTTCATCTCATCCTGAATTAGGTTAGAAAAATTACCGTGGAAACATACTTGAATTAAATGTCTGAGCTATGACTGCTCTCTCTGGTGGGCTGAATCTCTCTCAAAATATGGGAACTTGAGGTAACCACAGGTAAGGGCTCTCCCAGTTTCTAAACTTGACAAATGCAGTTGATGATAGTACTGTAAGTTATTGAAAACTCACTAAGAGTCAGGTGTGATACAGCACTGCCTGCTATTGCAAACGAGGTCAGAGCCTGAATTCAATATTCATAGCAGAGGAATCAAAGGTTAAAGAATTATTTGTAGCTTTACTGTGTTTTCCTTTGCCGTCTCTGAGCTTCTTGGTGATAGCACTGGTGCTGTGATCCACTTGCTCTGAAACTTACTGTTCATATCCCTCACCAGCCAGTGGAAAGCTCCTAGGTTTGATGTTAGGGACCGCAATGCAACCTGCGTGCGTTCAAGCAGAGACCAGGAGCACCTGGACACAAACACGTGTGTGTATTTCATTTTCCCATCAGCTCATCACTCTAGTAAGATGCAACTATGCAGTTATTGTCACGTTTACAACGTTTACAGCAATCTTTGAAGGGTCTCTTTATGGTGCTACTCAAGTTTTTGGTTACTAAGTGCCCCTGCTAGCAGCTTGACAAGCTGTGCTAATCACAGATCCAATTCAGCAAGGCTTTGTTCTAGCACAATGGCTTAGCAAGGCTACTCAGCTGTGCTAACTGAACGCTCGTGAGGCCCACGTCTGTCGGATGCTTATGGATGTGCTGAGGTTGCCAATTTTCAACTAGCCTGTCCTGTGATCAGTCCTAATTGGCATCTCTTGCCTTTGAAATGTTGTTTCAAGATGGAATTCAAGGTCATTGTATATAGCCTGTGTGTTTGTGTTTCAGAGATGTTCCAAGTGTGGACATAGTCGTGTGGTCTGAGCTGCCCGCAGGAGCTGGGTTAGGTTCAAGTGCTGCCTATTCTGTTTGCTTGGCGGCAGCCCTGCTGACTGCGTGCGGAGCCATTGCCTGCCCTCTGACTGAGGGGGAGTCCACAGCCAGGTAACACATCTGGGAAGCCTCCCCGCCTTGTGTGCACAGCACGGGGGTGGCTCTTGTTTCCAAGGTGCCCTGCTCACTGACACTGGCACACCGAACAGGCGGGTTAATACCCACTAAATATAATTCATGCACTTCAGTGCCTGAAGTAGTGTTTTACACAGTTATACAGGTGCACAGAGATGGGATCTAGGATTAAGATTATAATTAGCATGGTTCAGGCTGTTAGGGTGATTTGCAGGGAGGTTATACTTGTTTGCATGAGGCTGTGACAGTCACAGTGGCATACAGCTGTCCTTGCTGGCTGGTCTCCAGGATGGGCAGTTTGGATCAGCACATCCCACGATGTGATTGTTGTGCCCCTGTCTTTCTTTTCATCTGAGCCTGCACTGGCAACTGTCTTGCACTCTCTGGCATTCCCTGAGCTCAGGATCTGGTTGTGGCTCTGGTCACAGCAGTAGTACCCCGAGCCCAGCTCCTTTCCCTTCCTGACCTGTTGTCACCCTGTGTTCCCAGCAGCAGAGGTGTGTCCTGTCCCTGGACTCTGAGCTGTGAATGGTGTGTTTACAATTCACTTCTGGTAAAACAACTGGATGCAGAGACTGATTTAAAAAAAAAAAAAATTGACCTACCTTTTGTTTTGTCTAGTATAAGATACAGATGGTTTTTTTTGCAAAGAAAATAAAATATATGCTTTAACTTACAGGAACTTTTTTTTTTTTTTTTACCTCTATTTTCTCTTTGTCTCTGAGCCTCTTCTAGGTTCTGCTTTCTGTCCTCCAAGGAATCAAGGATCCTTTCTGTTTTGTCTGCCTTTACACATTGATTTCTTTCTGCATGTGGCTCGTTTCCTTCTGATTTCCTGCCTGAGCTTTCCCTTTTCCAGTGGCCGGTGAGGGGGAGTCTCTTTCCTAACCTCCATCCACTTCTGCCCTGTGTTGCTTTCACTTGACGTTCAGGCTTGAAAATCTGATCTGCCCTGCTCTGTGTCCAGGGAAGCTATGTCAAAAGATGCATATCACAGTTGAGTGCAGAACCCTCTATTGTTTGCTCTGTGCCAGGTGCAGCCTTTTATGCTTGGCTTCTTCTGATTTTGTGTCGGCCTGAAAGTGAGACAGCCAGAAAGGGCAGCTGCGTTCTACTTCAAACCCGGAGTTTGTAGACT